ACTCGAAGAACGCGAAGTGACCTACTGTTGGCTCCGGGCATTCAAAATCATGCCCAAGAATGAAGTTCTGGGAACTCGAAGACCACGAAGTGGCCTACTGTTGCCTCCGGGCATTCAAAATCATGCCCTAGAGTGGAATTCTGGGAACTCGAAGACCACGAAGTGGCCTACGCCCAGGAATGGAGTTCTGGGAACTCGAAAACCACGAAGTGCGTTACTGTTCGCTAAACAAGGAGTCCCCGGATTCCCGCGGCACCCGTCCGGCATCTGCCCAAACCCCCCTGGGGAGTCATGATGCTCTTTTTTGAAACCTATCAGTCTTCGCTGTTAGATAAAAATGAAGATCGAGAGGAGGAGGAGGAGGAGGAGGAGGAGGAAAAGGAAAGGAGGAGGGGGAAGGATGGAGCTGGGAAGGAAAGAAGGAGAAGATGAATGGGAGGGACTCGGATCGCGGGGATTGGAACTGCACGAGAGAAAGCACGGCGGCAGTAGGATGTAGATTGTGGAGTTTCTATTTATCATATATGAAGTAGATATGCGTCGACGCTCGGGACAAACAGCGGCGAACTTTCCTATTCGAGTCGGGAATGTGCGGGCGATGGAACGGCTCTGGCGGAGAAGAGAGACCAAAAGAGAAACGGAACCACAACGGTCCGACCACAAGCATTCTAGACTCGGCAGGGAGACACCGTCGCTGTCTGACCTGACGGGCGCGCGCGTGGGGGCGCGAGCTCATCCACTGCACTGGCGAGCTCGATCGTGCTTGTAAGAACGGCACTGGAGGAGCCCACACGCGTGAGCGATGATGGCATGGGTTACCATGTGCCGCACTGTGTGATGCTAGTGGCCTCGGGCCGCTGACATGATGGCTGACAGCCTGTCCTGAGACATAGGCAAGATGACGGCCCTGGGGTCACGTGAGTGGCGAAGTGGAGGCGTAGCGCCTTGACCTGGTAAGTGGGATAGGCGACGATGGATGGAGATAGACCTTGAGGGATGTACTCACTATGTTGGCACGATCGCCTCACGATCCGTCGGACGCTCTGCGATCACGACCACCGCAGGCGACCTCCTCGCTGGGCGTGCCGGACTCGGCACTGCCTATGGGCGAGGGTGGCTGCCGCGGTTCGTCGGCGCTGGCCGCGCGAAGGGCCGCGCCGGCGCGCCGACGCTCGATCTCCTCCCAAGCCCAAGGCCACGAGGCCCTTCGAGTACCTCATGGAGCGCGGTGGCTAGAGCGAGGCCGCGATCTGCTGAACCGATCGCAGCCATCAGCTCACTTGCGAAGGTGCTTCGCGCAACTGTCTTGGGCGCCCTGCACTGCCAGCCCAGCAAGTGAAACGTTTGCTCGACGACGAACGCCCGATGAGTCCCCGTGTCCCTGGTGCCAACGCGCAGGAAGGTGGCTCCTCGCAGGGCTCACCCTGCAACGGCGCCCTCCTCCTGTTCCTTTCGGAATGATGTGTCGCTGTGAATTTCGAACTTGCGTGCGAATCGCATGGGTGGATATGGATGCGCAATGGCGGGACCTGTGCCCATCTCACCAGTGTGCTGAGCTTCCGCATGTGGCCGCACGTTGGCGCCGCTGCGTGCCGCTGAAATGCGACTACGTAGACGCGCAGATCGATTCGGGTGATGAGCGCGAAAGCCTGAGCCATAAGCAGGCTGAGGCACTGTTTGGCCAGGCTCTCCGAAGCGAGCTCGGAATTAGATTTGCCAGACAGCTCAGAGCCCCCAATTGGTTCCAGCGCTTGAGTGCACTTGACCTGGCGCAGATCAGATCCGCCGTTGCACGAGTGGGAACGACGCGCCCCACAGCAAGTGAAACATCCAGATCACCTTTCCCAGAGGCACCCTCTAGACATTGACGTAACAAGGCCTTCTCCTGAGGTGATCCCGTGTCCTTAGTGTCATCAACATGTTTGGCGGCCAGTAGGACGAGCTCGCCGTCCTTGTCTGGCGAGGAACTCGTTGTCGCATAGCGATTGGTTGGCGATCTTGGTGAATTCGATGGACCGGCATCTCGGGGCAGATGTGCACCCGGTGCCTGGTTTCTCCACGCGGAGAACTTCAAGTGCTGGTCGAAATCTTCATGCCCCATGACTTTGCGCAGGATTGCGACGGCATCGGGGGAGAGCTCAACATTAACCTGGCGCTCTTAATCACCTGTTGCCTCCACAAGTTTCTGGTAGCTGCCGCCTTTCAAGAAGGACTTCTCGACGCCCCACGCGTCGATCGCCCATCCTCGGCAGGCCGCCTCGGAGACAATCACGCGCTGGGAGAGTCGCGACGAAGAGGTTCCTGCGCATGCGGCGATGAGATCGGCGTCGGCGTCCTTGAAGTCCCGGAAGGTCAGCCTCATGCGGACGATCCAAACCTTCTGAGATGGGCATGACTTGCTCCGTGCCCGTTTTCACTTACCTAGCCACCTGCAGTCAAGGATGTCGCGTGCTCCTCGGCGCGGACGCCGTGAGAAGCAGTTGCGATCGACCCATTCTTGCAGCTCCTCGAGCACAGCGGCAGCGACGGCTGCGGCGCGCCCTCAGAATTCTGCGGGGGTGCGCAAATCAATGTCACTTTCAACCACTGCCTCCCTGGTTCCTGCCACGTAGACCCAGAGGCGTGCACAATGATTGTCGGGAACCAGATGATCGAACATGAGTTTGTGCATCTCGTATGGGGCCAACATTTCCACGTAGGCGCCCCCGGCCTCATCGATGTCGACGACCTCTGTGATCTCGAGAAGTGCGGCATCTACTTCAAAGTAGTGATGGTGCTGACACGCCTCTGCGGGCAGGACTTGTGGTAGTGGGTATAACGGAGCAGGTTGGGTCTCCGTCTCTTGGACTTCCTCGAAATTGACCGACTCTGCGAGCAACGCATCCTTCATGACTGCCCGTTGGTGTGAAAATGAAGTCCACCATGTGGCGTCGATAAGGTAGCGATCGCTCAAAGAACCTGGGTGGTACCCCTTCTCGATGGTGGATAGCCTCCCTTCGTCATGCGCGGGGACGTCGAGGCGTGCACTGGCTTCCGAAGGATCGGCACTACTTCCCCGAGTGTCTGCTACTTGGAGCTCCGCCTTTGCTAGATATCCGAAGCAGCGCCGAGCTACCTCTCCAAGTATGAATGAAAGATCGTACATTCTGGCGTGGTCGGGACCTAGAAGCTCGACAAGGCTGAGCCTGCCAGCCCCAAAGCTCCACCAGGTGTCCACTTCGCGATTGTCCGGTCGCCACCATACCAATAATGGACCGTCTCGACTGTCTTCGGCCACGATACGATCGAGGCCACGGCCGCCTTGGATGGCCGCGACACTGTTGAGATTGAATACATTTCTGACTAAGTCCTCGAGGCTCAAAACCACAGAGAACTTGTTCGCAGTGACAGCGGTCACCGTTCCAGCGTCAGCAAGGCCAAAGCGTTGAAGGATCTTGGCCGAGAGGCTCGTGATGTACTGTTCAACCCCCATCCGTGCCTGACCGCGGGGCGTAGTACGTTGGCTCTTCCGTATACCAAGCAACCAGAATCCGCGAACCGTCGTACATTTCCGACGCGGCACATCCGTTCGGCGCCTCGGTAGTTGATGGTCACGATACCTTGTTGGGCACTCATCTTGGCGACTGCTAGTCCAGTCCACCGCTCGCATCTTTGGTGGATGGAGCCCGGTAGAAGTCGAACAACTCCAGGGTGTGGGCTGCGACTGCGTTGTTGGCCTTGGAGGCTCGGCTGAAACGGGAGATGGCCGAGGCTTCTACAATTCGCTGCAGTGCGATCGCTCTTGGCCGAGGCGCGTCGCGGGCCACGCCCGCTGCGTCACCTGGGAGCGCCAGCACATCTGGCAACATCGGCGGCTGCGGTCGCGTTGAACGGCGTTGCGCATCTATGGAATATGGGAGAGCTGCCGGCAAAGACTGCCTCAGATAGTAGGTCGGGCATGCTGACTTCCAGTATTTCACGCCGAAATTGTTCTTCAATGCAACGCATGGCACGTCGTGGGATGGCACCGCGTCGATCGATCATGCGGGCGCGCTGGTTGGGGGACCGCACTCGGACCACGATGCCGCAACGACTTAGCTGCGGCACCGAAGATACCACATTGACCATCTACTATCAGCGTCTTGAACGGTCCGAAGATCGAGATCAAACATGCTACGACGGCAGAGCACAAGCTCTCTGAAGGGCTGCGTCCACCATCGCTGGAGTCACCGCGAGAAGCTTGGCTGCATGCCATTGGTCGGCTCTATCGATCATGTGCCAGATCGGGCATTGGTGGCACACGATGGCACTCCCTTACACTTCCTGATCGGGGGCCGCGACCAGCTCGGGAGCCGCGACCACCTCGACCGAGGGCCCGATTTGCGACGCAGTGCTGGCTCAGGCCCTGCACTCACGGCACGCGCCCACCACGCCGGCAACGACTTGAACGACTGCACTCGGGCACCAGGCAGCTGCAAGCATCTTTTCCATCTGAGCCCGCGTGGCCCAACACCCGCGGACGCGTAGCGCGCGGATCTCGCGACGCACTTGCGACGCATCCCCAGTTCGTAGCACGCGGAAGCTCTGAGCGACGCCGAAACTGGCCCAGTCTTCTCGCGCGCGTCCCGTCGCGGCGCCGACGACTCGAGGTTGCAGCCGAAAAGATCTGGGAGCTCGGGGCGCTGTCGCGCCAGGCGGTTGCGGCGGTTCGTCGCCATCAAAGAAATCGTCGCAGACTGGAGCTGGCGGCGCCGGGTCGTCGACGGGGCCTCGGTCTGGAGGCGGCCTATCGGCGCTGGGGCCCACCTGTGATCCAGGGATTCCTTCCACGGGATCTCGAGACTGCCGCGCGCGGGCCTCGCGGGGAAAGGCCCCACGTTGGCCGGCGCGACGCTCATGGATAACCCTGCGTAGTTCGTCAAACCAGCGGCATTGGCCTGGCCGACTGGCGCGGTCAACGCGCGCTCTGACTCGCGGCGGGACTCGCGCGCACCCCGGACAAGAGCACGGTGATTCGACTCCTGGAGGGATGGCACACATCCAGGGGATATCGACGCGACGTGATCCAGATGACTGCGATTGCCGCTGCACCCGGGACATTCTGGATACTGTTTAGCGTTTGGTGAGTTGGCTGCCTGCTTGGCAGCCGGTGCGACGGCAGCCGCCCGCGCGCCCGCGGCGCGCATGGGAGCTCCAGTCGCCTTCGGTCGGACGCGGGGCTCGCCCGTTGGCAGGCGCGGCCGCTGACGGCGCCGGCGCTAGCGCTCGCGGTGCGTCGGCTTCTTCCAGGCGGTCAACTTCCCGAAGAGCCCCCAGGTTGACGTGGCCACCCGTAGCAGGGCAAAGCTCTGCCACAAGCGCGCTGCGGCTTTGAGAGTGGCGACGCCTTGCGCCACGCGCTCAGCTAACCGCCAGGGCCAGACCTGGAATGTCTCGGCACGTTGGCTCCGACCCCAACTAACACCGTGGTCGCGGCGGCCGCTGACCCCAAGGTTCCTGCCGGGTGCTCGCAGGCGCGGTGAATTGGCGATAGCTGCGGACGGCTTCTCAGCTGGGAGACCGCGCGGCCCTTGGGCACACGAACAGCAGCGGTCGAACGCAACCGCGCCCACACGGGGATGCGTAGCCACGTGTTCCCACGGCGGCGCCGCGCTGAGCCGAGCGGGGCTCGGTTGTTCGACAAAGAAATATCGCCCATGGTGCATCTGCACAAACACAGCTTGCCCGCAGAAGGACGCGCGGTGCACCCCCCCTGCAGCGCGACCGCCACGTCACGATTGATACGACAGTTGAGACTACTAGGCGGCCCAGCACTGCGGTAAGACGGAACTATGACCACCACTAGAGGCACTGCAGGACGCGTCGTTGAATATTACGGCGGCCCAAATCACAACCAGTCACCAGGTCGACACAGTCTCCTGCACCGCGTCGTCGTCGAATGGCGATATGCGGGGCGCGGGCTTCACCGCCGCGCGACTCACGCAGGTCCGCGCCGGGCGCAATAGCACGGATCCCTGCCAGGGCGTGCGCGATGTCTGCGGCCTGGAAAGTGGACGCTGGGAACATGGCCCGTGCTGCGGATGTTTCCGCCAGGCGCTCACCGACTGGGAACTCTCTGGCGCCTTGAATGGCTGTGTCCTGGAACAGTCGTTTGAGATGCTCCTCCGTGCCAAAGCCAGAGAGGTCGTCTCCGATGTCGTCGAACGCGTCTTCTACCATCTTGGAGCGTTTGATGGGCACATGGAACTGTTTCTTGCGCGCCTTCGCGCGTTCTGCCTCCTCCGCGGGCACCTGGCAAACAAGGAAAGAGGTTCTGCCTGTCCAATCGCATGGCAAGGCCTCCTGCGCGGTGGATCGTTGTCTCCAGCTCGAGGCGCTCACAACGAGACTGCCTGGGTCGCGCCGAGGGCCGGCGCAGGTCGTCCTCTCATCTGCCAGCGAGGCAACAAACCGGGCAAAAGGTCTCGGCCAGAGTGAAAAGGGCCTTCCGGAGCAACACGCGGTCTCCAGTCACGGTGCTCTTACCTGAGGTCGGAGATCAGATAACCTTGTCGAAGGAACGTTCATGTTTTCGTCTGGATAAGCTATGAAACTTCACGCACTGCACCGCATGTTATCGTCTTATGTATACCATCTTATTGTTCCGCATTGTCATGTAACCTATTTGCACGTATAGAAACTATTCGAGTCGAAATTGTCGGGCTGACGAACAGCGCGAGGTGGAGAGTGCTGGGTACTCGACGAAGCGGCCGAAACCTGCTCGCCATGCAAAGCAGCCGGTGCGTTCGTGAGCCCAACCATCTTTAACTCTGCCTGAGCAGACTATCCCGCTCGGGACAATCCAAAGTGCACAAGCAGTCGCACGCGGAGTTGGAACAATACTTCTGCTTTGATCAGCGTTGCCTGGGAGATCACTGAGGAGCTCCCTTTGCAAGGAGGGCGCTCCGTCGCCCGATGCCAGGACGCTAGGTGCACCTGGCCATTCGGACATGCGCACTACAAGCTGCCCCCCTGTTCTATCGTCTTGACGATGTGGAAGGCTGTCTTGGCAGGTGACTTGTGGCCCGGGTCTGGTGTAAGCCCGAGTTGGCAGAGCCGAAATGATGATTGCTTCGTGACAACTGCTGGGTCCGTGAGCACTTCGATGGAAAGACTTAGCTTGCTTGCAACGTCTAGTGCAGCACAGGGTGCGTCGTGTCTTCGGCTCTTCAAGAGTGATTAGCAATCGCTCTGTGGCAAGATGAAATTTCTTCCCGTGATAACTATGGCTAGGCGGCATCATAATCTAAAGCGCTTGATATTCGTGTCGGGTGACTTCACTGAGGCGAACGGAGAAGCGGGGAGATATGATGCTGGTGGGATCGAGCGCTCGCATCAGCCATCCGCGCCACTCAAGAGCTATAGCGCATGTCGGCGCGAGCTCCATTGCTAGAGCGCGGTTGGGACTAGACGTTGGTTCCCCAGCCAGGAGAGCCGCGGCGCCCCGCGTGGGGGCCGCAGCTCATTGCGAGCTGAAAATCGACCGCTGCTCAGCCTCCTGGCCGGAAGGGGCAGCAGCCAGGGTCGCGTCCTCCGCCTCCGTCTCCGTCTCCTCGGCGTGATCGCGCAGCTCGACGCCGCGGTCGGGCGCGCCGCATGCGTCTTGCGAGCCCTCTCGAAGTCGTCGATGACCATCACGGGGTGTCGGAGCCTTCTGCAATGGGATGCAAACGGCCCCCGCGGGCCATTGGATCAAGACGTCGCCGCCGCCAGGCAAGATCAGCTCGCGCTGGCCCGCGCCCAAGATCGCGCGCATGGACCCCGTGCTGCGCAGGCCGAGCAGGCCGGGCAGGTCACTGCCCGACCCTCTGACATTTGGTGCTGTGAAGCTGTGGATGGCATCCCTGCCCTGTTCATCCGCGACGGCTATGGGGGCGCTCACCCGATGGGTGCACTCTTGGGCCCTGTTGCCAACACCTTGAATACTCAGAGGCATGCCCATGAGGAGCCGCCGTGGCCGGCGCCTGGCCCCTACGGCTCAGCGACGCAGCTGGCGCGCAAGCTTCGCACCAATGAGGTTGGCTCGTGCACATGGGTCCACGACGACGCTGAGCTCACCCGGGGGGAGCTGCGCGCGACTGTGGCCCACCTGAGTAGCGCACTCGTTTGCTGGGCCAGGCCAACCGCTGGCCACCAGGGCAGCACATCGGCTTCACCGCCTCGCGGTGAGCCCTAGGCGACGGCTGTCCCCAGGCGAACGCAGGAGCGCCGAAGATGACCTCGCCGATCGGCGCGTCTCGCGGCGTGATCAAGACACCGTCAGCGCCGAAGGGCACGTCCTCATCGGGCGTATTGCGGGGCGCGCCGGCGATCGGGATGCGCGCGACCTCGCGTGCAATCAGGTGTTGCCTGCACGTCGGGCACTGTGAGAACGGTGCTCGGGCCTGGTCGCCACGGAGTGCATCCTCCACTGCTCACACCTGGGCGACGTCGAAGCTCGCGGCGGCCCGGGCGTCGGCGCAGCTCTGGTAGAAGCGATGGCCACGCGGAGAATCACAGCAAGACCCAGGTTGACGTAGCGGTCCGAACAGATGCCTCACTTCTCATCGGCGTCGACTTTGACTCCAGTGAGTTCTGACTCTGCGCGTAGGTCCGACAGCGTTGGCGGCGGCGCGACGGTCGCGGGCCCAGCCGCGACCATGTCCATCATCTGTTGGGCGCGCTGAACGCCCGCGGCAGTGAGCACGCCGCTGCCGCACCGGAGAGTCGCGGTCGGCTTCCAATCTGGCCATAGAGGACGGCCAGATGTAGATCTCCGGAGCCAGGTCCTGATGGCCGCGGTCGGCACTTCAGCTAGTGTTCATGTCCGCGGCGTCGTCTGTCTGGCTCGACAGGGGCCGCGCCCCCCCCCGGCGCGCGCGCCAAGGCGATCGAATGGCGACTTCGACGCGCGCGAGAGGCCTGTCTGGCTGCATGTGGCAAACATGTAGAGGAAAAAAACGATGGTCGTTGACAGGTTCGCAAGAGCGCGCGCGCACGTACTTTGCTGACGAATCACGCAGCAAAATGCAAAACCACATTAATGTTTCTCCATGTTCTCGGGGAACTCAACTTCGGCACCGCTGCGAGACGCGCGCACGAAAACTTCGCTCCACTTCCGCGCGGGATTCCTGCAGATGGATGATGTCTGATCAACGAGCGCGCGCGCATGCAAATATTTGCAAACGAAGGGGTCGAACCAGGCCAGGGTGGGGCGACATAAATTCGAATCTACAATGAACGACGGGGCAGAATCACATCTAACTTGCACACCCCCAGGGGGCGCGGGCAACCCCGGGGGGGGTCCTGATTCTCTTCCAACAAAAACCCACGTGGTACAATGCGTGGCGCAATCAAAGCGGCCCCATTTACGCGGCGCAATCGACGCGGCGCAGTCTACGTGGCGCAATTTACCCGACCGAACACGCAGTTGTCAACTCCACTGATCGCGCAATCATCCCACTCACCCACCGGCAACTTGGCTTCCAAAACCCACGCGGCGGCGATAGCGATAACTACTCGGCCCTGGCTGGCGCATCGCCACGGCCGCGCCAACGCGCGCAGGCTCGAGCGCAAATCGGCCAGCAAGTCTGGCGCGACCGGCGCCGCCGCGGTGGAATTGACCGCCCGACCCTTCCCTGCGCGCGCTGCAGGCCGCACTGACACGCGGGCACTTCAGCGCGAGTCGGTGCGCCGGACGGGCGCGGCATCATGGCAACGTCGACAACGGCAGACACGATGGTGACAATAGCGATGATGGCGGCGATGATGACGATGACAACAGCATGGCAGACGACGACGCAAATGCCGATCACGCCGACGACGACGATGGCGCCCACTTGTCGGAGATGTAAGCGTTGAAAGGGTTTCAACGCGCGCGCGCGGACGACAGGCGCGAGTGGCCCGCGGGATGTTTGTTGACAGGGGTCGCGCCCCCCTCGCGCCCCAGCGAGCGCGCAGGAGCATTCGAATGCGCGCGCGAGAGGCCCGCTTGCTCGCATTT